CCATAACAAGTTAATATTCACTTCACTATATTCAAAATTGGTTCAATTGCAAGGTATTATAGCAACTCACGTGCAATTGAGTTTGTTCTCATTTAACTCAGTTAAGCCCTTTTGTTATCTTATTTAGCGGACAAAGTCATCCGTACTATAACAACTTATTGTACCTTTATTATTGTCGTGCTTGTATGAAAAACTCCGCCTGAAGTCCCTCCGGGGGCTACTGCCGGTCCCAAGCCCGGATAAAGGAGGAGGGTTGGGCATGGGGTTAGCGTCCCCATCCCGTAGAAAACTAACTCGCTAAAAAAACGCTAACCAGAAAAAATTATTCAAACCTTTTAAACTCTGCCCTGGGAGTCAGAAGGTCTTCATTTAGAAGAATTATGACGCCTCATGATGAAAGCCGAATTCCTTCGGAAGTTACGAGGCCGATGCCCCTTCTGACAACCAGAGCGACCATTTATTTAGGTACATGGAATGTTCGTACAATGTGGGACACCGGAAGAGCCTTCCAAATTGCTGCAGAAATGAGAAGATACAACCTAGAGGTACTTGGGATCAGTGAAACACATTGGACACAAGTTGGACAACAACGACTAACTACAGGAGAGCTCCTGTTATACTCCGGCCATGAAGAAGAAAATGCACCACATACACAAGGAGTTGCATTGATGCTGTCCAAACAAGCACAAAATGCACTTATAGGATGGGAATCTCATGGACCAAGGATCATCAAAGCCTCGTTCAAAACAAAGAAAGAGGGCATTTCAATGAACATCATCCAATGCTATGCGCCTACCAACGACTACAATGAAGACGCTAAAGATCAATTCTACAATAGGCTGCAGTCAATCGTCGAGAAGTGCCCAACAAAGGACCTGACCATTCTGATGGGAGATTTCAACGCCAAGGTTGGAACGGACAACACTGGATATGAAGACATCATGGGACGACACGGACTGGGAGAAAGGAACGAAAATGGTGAGAGATTTGCAAACCTATGTGCCTTCAATAAACTGGTCATAGGCGGCACCATATTCCCACATAAACGCATACACAAAACCACATGGACTTCACCGGATCACACAACGCAAAACCAAATCGACCATATTTGCATCAACAAAACGTTCAGGAGGACTATAGAGGACGTGAGAACCAAGAGAGGAGCTGATATAGCATCAGATCATCACTTGCTGGTCGCCAAGATGAAATTGAAACTCAAGAAGCACTGGACAACGGGGCGGACAATATCACAAAAGTTCAATACGGCCTTTCTTCAGGATACTAACAAACTCAACAAATTCAAGATAGTCCTCAGCAACAAGTTCCAGGCCTTTCATGATCTACTCAATGGAGAAGGAACTACTGTGGAGAGCAACTGGAAGGGGATCAAAGAGGCAATCACTTCAACATGTCATGAGGTCCTGGGTCACAAGAAGCACCATCACAAGGAATGGATCACTGTTGATACACTGGATAAGATTCAAGAAGGCAGCAATCAATACCAGTCGAACAAGAGCAGAAAAAGCCAAGGCACAAGCTGAATACACAGAAGTAAACAAACAAGTGAAGAGGAGCATCAGAACCGACAAACGTAAATATGTGGAAGATTTAGCAACGACGGCGGAAAAGGCTGCAAGAGAAGGAAACATGAGACAACTGTATGACACGACAAAGAAACTCTCTGGAAATCGCCGCAAACCAGAACGACCAGTGAAAAGCAAGGAAGGCAAGGTAATCACCAACATTGAAGAGCAACAAAACAGGTGGGTAGAACACTTCAAAGAACTCTTGAATCGACCAGCCCCACTGAACCCACCCAACATCGAAGCAGCACCCACGGACCTCCCAATCAATGTTGGCCCACCAACAATTGAAGAAATCAGCATGGCCATCAGACAAATCAAGAGGGACAAAGCAACAGAACCAGACAACATTCTAGCAGAGGCACTGAAACCAGATGTAGCAGTAACTGAAAGGATACTCCACATTCTCATCAGCAAGATTTGGAATGAAGAACAAGTACCAACAGACTGGAAAGGACTTCTGATCAAAATACCGAAGAAAGGCGATCTCAGCAAGTGTGATAACTACAGGGGCATCACTCTTCTCTCAATACCGGGAAAAGTCTTCAACAGGGTATTGTTAAACAGGATGAAGGACTCCGTAGACTCCCAACTTCGAGACCAACAGGCAGGATTCCGTAAGGATAGATCGTGTACAGACCAAATTGCAACTATACGGATCATTGTAGAACAATCAATTGAATGGAATTCATCACTCTACATCAACTTCATTGACTAAGAAAAAGCATTTGATAGCGTGGACAGAACAACACTATGGAAGCTTCTTCGACACTACGGCGTGCCTCGGAAGATAGTCAATATCATACGGAATTCCTATGATGGATTACACTGCAAAATTGTGCATGGAGGACAGTTGACAAACTTGTTCGAAGTAAAGACCGGTGTTAGGCAAGGTTGCTTACTCTCACCCTTTCTCTTCCTCCTGGTGATCGACTGGATCATGAAGACGTCAACATCTGAAGGAAAGCACGGGATACAATGGACATCTAGGATGCAGTTGGACGATCTAGACTTCGCAGATGATCTGGCCCTTCTATCCCAAACGCAACAACAAATGCAGGAGAAGACGAACAGTGTGGCAGCAGCCTCAGCAGCAGTAGGTCTCAATATGCACAAAGGGAAAAGCAAGATTCTCCGATACAACACAGCATGCACCAATCCAATCACAATTGACGGAGAAGATTTGGAAGATGTAAAAACCTTTACATATTTGGGTAGCATCATTGATGAACACGGTGGATCTGATGCAGATGTGAAGGCGCGGATCGGCAAAGCAAGAGCAGCATATTTACAACTGAAGAACATCTGGAACTCAGAACAACTGTCAACCAAAACCAAGGTCAGGATTTTCAATACAAATGTCAAGACAGTTCTACTATATGGGGCGGAAACCTGGAGAACTACAAAAGCCATCATCCAGAAAATCCAGGTGTTTATTAACAGTTGTCTACGCAAAGTACTTCGGATCTGTTGGCCGGACACGATAAGCAACAACGTACTGTGGGAGAGAACAAACCAGATCCCAGCGGAAGGATAAATCAAGAAGAAACGCTGGAAGTGGATAGGACACACATTAAGGAAAGCACCAAACTGCGTCACAAGACAGGCCCTCACATGGAATCCTTAAGGCTCAAGGAAAAGAGGAAGATGAAATAACACATTACGCCGGGAAATGGAGATAGACATGAGAAAAATGAACAAAATTGGATGGAATTAGAAAAGAAGGCTCAAGACACAGCGGGTCGGAGAATGCTTCTGTTGCAACTAAACATCAAACTAAGCTAGGTTCAAGGATGGGTACCATCTTACCGTAAATTATAGATGAGTATTGGTTGCAGTTGCATAACGCCATGAAAATCGCGAGTAAAGTCTCTTGCGGCTTCGCGAAACGTCCCTCGTATAAGTACTTTGTTTCTTCAGGCTCCGCAGTCGGTGATCTATGGTCGGTGGATGTGATGGGACCGTTTCCACAGACGGCGAGCGGTAATCAGTACCTGTTAGTGATGACGGAACATGCTACACGTTGGGTAGATGCCGTACCCATTGCAGACCAGCGGGCAAGGACAGTGACCGAGGTGGTAATCCGGCATATTGTAGCGTGTCACGGAATACCGAAGATGATATTAACTGACCAGGGTCCCTGTTTTGAAAGTGACGAGTTTAAAGCCCGTTTAAAGCAGTTTGGCATCAAGAGAATACGAACTACACCGTATCATCCTCAGACAAACGGGCTTACAGAGAGAAACAATCGAACGTTAAAGGAATGGTTAGCACCAAAAGGAGGAAATTGGGAGAAAGAGTTACCACTGATTTTGCTGGCACATCGTTCCTCCACACAAGGAACAACCAAGAAGTCACCTTTCTTGCTCATGTATGGCAGACAACCACGAATTCCAATGCATAATAAGACCTGGCCACAACAACAGAAGTGGACGACAGCAAGGTTAAGAAAAGAGAGGAGAGAGGCAATAAGGAACGTGGAAAAGAAACAAATATCAGACACAAAGAAGGCAGAACAGAGGAGAACGTGGAAACCCTTTGCAGTGGGGGACCTAGTAAAGTGTAGAGAACGAAAAAGTAACATAGCAGGGGGAGCAGGGTCGGGGAAGCTGGCCCCAAAATGGGAAGGACCGTATGTTATCACGGAGAGACGCGGCTCGGTCTACACGATCCGGAGAGAAGACAAGCAGAAGCGCGTAAATGCTAGTCAACTACAGAGATGGTTTCAAGATCATCATGGGTGTGAATCACGAAAAGCACCAAAGAACACAGCGGTACGGAGATCAGAAAGACTACGACAGCAACTTGTTAAAAGGGGGGACGAGTGTGGTGCGTGCTACTTATATTGATATAAGTAGTATATAACGTGAGTCAAAAGAACGTAACATCTGGCAGCAGAAGATGGAGAAGATCAAGAAAAGAAGAGCGAGAAAACAATGGAATTTGTAAGAAATCGCATGAACAATGAAATGCGAGACAATGGATTGATGTTTGCAAAAGCAACAGTCCGGTTTGATATGATAGAATAATATTTTGCAAATTAACGATTTACTATATGGTTTTTCTATTTTACCAAGTAATTCTGTAATTTGTCCTAAATACAATTTGGTTGTCCTCACCCGTGTTCTCCTTCACTACAAGAGTGGATATTCTTTTCAAGTACCAAGTTGTTAATATTATGTATATATAAATACAAGAAAACGTAATAGCTCATAGAAAACATGTAAATATGTACATTAAACAAAGAAAAAGAAAGTTAAGTACATATAGTGCAGAACAGTTTGTCGGTTTGAATGACATTAATGATCAACAGGATAGAAGAAATAACAAAATCAATAAATAAGAAAACACTAGGCAAACAACAGAAGTACAAAAATAAATTAAAGGAAAAAGGAATTACATAAGCATAGATTTTATTCATTGATTAGATGACAAACAATGAGTGTGAACAACTTGGTTTTTAGGAATAAGCCAAGCAAAGCTATCAGATGGACCATATACACAAATTGATTGATGGCATACAGAACACAAAGTATCATCTTTAATTAATAGACAATGTGATTTGTTAGGGAGATCAACAATAGATAATTTCGCATTATATTTAGTCAAACCATATTCTAACTGAAGTTCTGACCATTCTTGTAGAGTAGATCGAAATGCATTATGTAAAAATGGTTTGATTTCCAGAATGTTCCATGTTGATGGAAAACGAGATAATAACTGGAAGAAAAATAACAATACTTAATGTTCCTTTTTCAAAGGACATGATTAATTTGAAGATAGTTTTCGTAAAAAAAGTCTATATCAGGTGAAAGAAACACTGAAAACTGGGAAACATTAAAAACAAAGTTCTCACGGTACCTTTGTCTGACAAACAGTCAGTAATTTTGAGTTTGTGATTTCTGTAAGATCAATGAACCTTATATTAATAACCAAAACACACTTGTATAAAGGATTACAATAAGAATTGAAACTTTATTACTCTGATATCCAAGTAGATGTAGCTAAATATTAAATTGTCATTCGAATATATCAAAGTTAAATTTAGGGGGTTTGATGATAGCGGATTACGTCTATGGGTCCTGAGGACGATTTTACACATTGTGCACATAGTCCGCAGTCAACTCCGAGCAAATCAAGATGGGAATTATGCTTATGTCATTTCTTAGTATAGATAGACCATTAGCAACTAAGAAAAGAAGTTGAGCAAATAGAAAAACCCTAGAGTCTTAGTTAAATCAAACAGGGAAATTCGTTTAAGTGAAAAGCAACAAATCAAAGTAGAGTAGGAACGAAGTAGACGATCAATTTAAGTATTATTAAATAAATCTATGAATGTCTATCAGGCATTCACGAATTTAAGTAATTACGAAGAGTACTAAGATGAAATTAATTGCTATCATGTCTAGGATCAACAATATTGACTCATTGAATAAAGCAACATTAATGTATCATTATGACAATTCTAACATATATGACATAGAGGAAAAAGAGTAACTAATTACCTTTGAATAATTAAATTTTAAGTCAGGATTATTCAGAAGATTCAAAATCATTTTCTTTATATCTTTAGAATTGTTCTCGTTAGTATGAAGTCTATTTAAACAGAGACAAACAAACAGGAAGGAAAACGGAAACATAGAAACAAATGAAAAAGAGACATTATAATGTCAAAAAGTTTTCAATTCACTGTTTTTAATTGTTAAACTTTTGAATAATTTAATAGATTGGAGATGAATTTTTTTTAGAAATTGTCATAGTGTAAAAATTCTTAACAACACAAATAAATGAACAAAATTGTTTCGCATTGGATATTTATCCAGCTTCACACCAAATATACCATAATTTTTATGTCCATGTATGAGAAAGGTAGAGATCAGTTAAAGCAATTTCTGAATTAATGATAATTATCTGTATACTTAAACTGACTATTCATACATTTATTAGTACGTAATTTTCAGTCATTAGTATTTTTAGTATAAGGGAGTTTATGGAGATGGCGAAGATTTTAATTATTTAAATCACGAATTAATATTAGCTAGATCACGATTGAAAACAAGAAAGGACTGAACCATTATTTGATTCAAACGTGTGACTACTTAGCAGCGCGCTCAGAGTTCGCATGTAGGGTCATCGTTCTAGGGTTCGATTTCGTATGGAAGGGTATTAGATGCACATTATTCAGTCCCATATTAAGACGTAACAGCTATTCAGCCATTTCTAGTCTTTAACAATGGTCTAGCTAAGAATAATAATTATTTTGATACATTTATCTTTGCAAACTTTGACCTACTTCTTAAGTCAGTATTCTTATTCATATTGCTACTTTGTTTATAATATTTTATTTATTACTAAACCTGTCAAACAAGCAGTTATGTAAAACTTTTTCATTGTTACAATAGACCAACATATTGTATTTACTGGTTCAATATTTTTAATACATCCATGCAAAAATAACAGTAAAGTCTGATATAGTGTTTAATTGAAAATATTGTTCGTATATGTGTGTGGTTCTGACTCGATTGACGTTACAAAACACTTTTATTTTCGAAGTGTTAAATTTTCACGTAACAAATAGATAGAAACTATAAATTTCTGTGATTTTAACAAGATTTATGATTTAACGTAGATGAAAAATGAAAGGGATTCGGCGCATAAAATTTTATATTCAAGAATATCATTTAATTGAACTTTACAGTCATATTTATGGTTAGTTTTTACTTATAAATTATAACAAAATAGAAGAGTGTTACGTTATTTCAACTCAAAAGAACCACCATTCAAGGGTATCTACAAAGTTGCAAAAACTGAATTAAGAGTTTGGATCAGAAATTTGTACATTTCTGAGGAATTGTCGGTTCACCAATTAAACCCCGATCTTTGTGTTCACGAAAGACATATTTATTACATTATTGCACCATGATCTTAGTACCACTTCTAATTTTACAAGTTATTATTGCGAAATTCTTTCGTCCTTCATGTTCCTGATATTCGTCAAGTGGGTAATTTTCCTATACATCTTTATATAAACTACTACTTATTAGTATTATGTAATTTATATCTCACGCTTGAAAAATACGGATAATTTCTGATAACATGACTAAATAATGTAACACGTAATTCAGATATGTCCTTCATTATGAACTGTAATCAAATAAAAAATGGCAAAAACCAAGAAGCACTCCATAACTGATTCATCTCAGTTTGACATTAATTTATAAAGAATATTCGCGATCCTACATGAAACGGAAACAAAAATCGTCACATCTCTCAGTGAAAAAGGCTCCACTTAATAAACGAGTTGAAAACCAATAATTCACAGTTTTAACTACAGGTGATTCGCACATCATAACACAATACTAAAAAATAGCTGTCTCAACAAACTCAATACAGCACAACATCCCACTAAGTAGAAACAATTATTCGATTATCATTGATTTCTAATGGTTATTCACCTGATGCTAGTAGCGTTGAAACTTTAGCTCAATGGAATCTCATAGACTGCTTACAACTTATAACATCCACGTACTAAATTACTTAATATTTTACAGATCACAGAATATTTAGGATATAACCAAACTTGAATATTTCGGCATTTATGTTTTTGGAGTCTACTTACTTACGATTTCTATGTTTTCTGATTGATCTGACAATTCATTTAACAAAAATCAGATCAAATATTTGCTCCAAGACTACGTACTGTAATGTATAAAGTGATATGAATTCAGTAAGAGATATAAAAAGTAGGGGTAGATGTAGTCAATCATTTTATTCACTGACTTGTCGTGAAGCACATAAATTCCAATGAAATCAAAATTATTCAAAAATGCATATTAAAAGTAACAATCTATTAATTACTTTGTATAAATACAATTTTTGAATAAAAACTCATGACAATAGTGAGACATTTCTTGTAAAACGTATACTAGTTTCTTTTGGACTTGATAATGAAATAATTGATCAATATAATCCAACTACTTTTGAAAGCCACAGATATCACAACTTATGAAAACTGAACAAAAATTTAAATGACTATTCCAGTTATCGCTATCACTCTTATTATCTTTCAATTCATTAGACTACACTTGTAATTCCGTTCATTAAATCTGTATTCTGAATATTCTGACCTAATAATCTTAATTTACTTTATTGATTTTGTCGAGATGTTTTTGTGGTATTTGTACTAATCGATGATTTCTTTTGTACGCGATTCTACGGTTGAGCTGATTTTCAAATACAATACTTCTAATTGTGCTCACTGTAATCTCACTGATTTCGATACTGGTATATACAGTACTCCTGGTCATTACGAATTCCATTATTTCCAAACACTACAGTTTAACAACTGTAAAGTAATTTTTATTATGCAATCGATGATCAGTAAAAACTAAACGGTATTGAAAGTGTATTTTGTTTTAATTTGATGCTCCTCGGTGGTGCATATCCACAACTAATCTTAGGATAGAACATATCATTTGAAATGAGTACAATATTATGCAGTCACAGAGTTGAACAAACAGACCATGGTATCATAAAATAACCCCAAGAACTCATAATCGACCCCAATCAGCAGTCAACACACAATTAATATTCATCATAATGATTTAATAAAGCTTGTAGACAGTTTTTAAGTTATTCATGAGAATAAATCAAGTTTAAAAACCCTCCTACATATTATTATTATGAAAATATTAATCCATAAATAGTAAACTATAATTTAGACCAAGTCAAATTCTTACCTATCAAGACAGATTTCAACAAATATTGTAAATAACAAGGAGGATATTGATTGATTACTAGAATCACCTTCCATAAATTCAAACTGGTCCCAATGGTGATAAGTACCAAGTGAATTTACTGCTACTGTATTACATTTTACATTAGTATCATTGTTACGTGCACTACAATGAACAGGTTGTTGACGGCTGAATGTAAGACAATAGTACAATGCGGCTTTATAATCATTTACATCTTCAATAAGATATTTTAAAGCCTTCACATGATTATTGGCCTGATTAAAAAGATTTTTTTCAACAACAAAAAAGGCTAAATATTAAGAAACTCATGATGTTGAATTGAATAAATATGTAAGTTTAAGTAAATGGCTTGGGAAATGTAAATCAAACCGACAACTTATAATTAAGAAATGAAATCGACTGGGGAAATTTAAAAAAAAAAACAGTAGTCTACGAATCTGAAGGTTCTTTATTTCAATGTCATGTACAGCCGCAGATTTGTGCAATGTTAGGCAGACGCATAATATGAAAGAGTTGATCAAATGACTTTGGATTTGAATCTCTATCTAACAAAATATCCATTTTATTTATTTATTTGAACGCATACACAATGACATAAGTGGGGATCAAAATAAATATGGGCCATATAAGTCAGAGTATGAGATAATGAAGGGATAAATGAACAAAGGTGAATATAATCATATACCAATAAATGAATAGAAGTGAACGAGATTAGTATGTTATCGGATGAGCAGTTCAGTACATAGAAGTACAACAAGGAATCTTTCCAGTTAAAAAAGTTCTCACTTTTATATGAAAAAGAAAGATAAATTACATCAGGACTGACACCAAAGTCTATTTTGAGCCACATCTGATAGTCTCAAATAACTAGATTGCACCATCTCTCAGACCTCAATCAGAGAATTATAAAGGATTGAAAGATCCCAGTCCTGTTCAGTTTTGTTTTACACCCGGGCATCATGTCATAAACTGACCACTTCTCCACTTTTTCTAACCAGACCCATCTCGGCAAATAAGGTATATTATGACTCTAATACCTAAATTTTCACACACAGTTAATCGGTTATTGACAATTCATTTTAATGTTTTTAATCCTTAGTCATTTTTTATTAACACCTTCATGTTTTTTTTAATTTAGACATCTTTCTTATACTCCTTAAGTGGATAATTATCCTTCACACATTTGGTCTTATCTTAGTATTTCTCTTTTACTTCTCGATCATTAAACAACCTTATATCAATCTTTGAAGTTGTGTACTACTCTTCATATTTTTCGACAAACTAAGTTGGGTAATAAGCTTAAGTAAGCAAGCAACATAGACATTAAAAATTCGAACCACCACTCCTTGGCACGTTGATAACTTCTCAGCATAAAAGAACCGTTTATTAGCATAATATCAATTGACTGGATATAATGCATCAAAAGGGGGTGATATCTATATAGTATAGTTGTAAATGTTACAGATATTTTAAAATTCCATTACACAGTTTAACATTTACAGATGCGTATATTAATATATGTGTTATTCCACGTAGATGCTCCAGGATCGATCTGTTTTCATAATCTATAACTTGTTTTATATGTACTTTTACCTCATATTTTCTTTTAAAGTGCTGTTGCTGGATTTCTGCGACAGACTATTCAGTTCTCAAACCATTTAGTCGTATTTTAATTATCGTTCTTTACCATGACATCACTTAATACTGATAAGAATGTTTTGTGATTGATACAATCTAAATCCTATTGGTCACCAAAATATTAAAGTGAACAGAATCCAAACAGATAGGTATATCCTATTAAAAGACTACAGCAAGTTCCGTGTTGATAATAAATGATTGTCCTCACTCACAAAAGTTGATCTAAACGTTAGCACCACCTGCAGATCAACCAAACTATTTGGATACTGTTTTTCGAAGAATTTCACATCTGTGGTAAAATATGTAGCTAAATTAATACGTCATAAACGTATAAGTTTACTTCAGAATGAATCACTATGGGAAAAATGGGATTTAGTGAATCATTTACCGTGTATACTACGATTTAATAAAACGAAATAATCGTCTTTTATTCATCAAGATTACTAAAATGGGCTTGCTTATATGTGCACTATTCTCAACTTGTCCCCGATATCTTTCCCTTAAATGTCGACAAGATTACGATTTAATCTTGATTGATTCCAAACTACCTAGCAATGCCATAGGAAAACATATATTGGACATTAATCATATCCTCCCCCACAATTATTGTTATCATTATTAGTATTACTATCTCCACTGTTATAATTAATTCAACGTTGTTTCTGTTCGGTAATTATTACCATTATCATCACTTCATCTGTTGTAATCAAAACTTGCAAATTTATCTTATCACCGATTACATCATGGTCTTATTCACATTTAAAATATTCATCTATATATTACAATTACAATTATAAAACATTTTTTTATTAGAACAAATTAGTGAACATGTGAATGAAATGAATACAATTCACTTCACAATTTATTCCTTATTCTTGCTTAAAAACGCTCATTCAGAAATTAAGAGGACAATTTACGTAGCAACACTAAAGATAGCCTGTGGACTGACATGGAAAGAAAGGTTTTAATTATGCAATCCATCGATTAATTATATGTTTTTGAATTATGCCTTGTGGCATGAAAGGTATATATGGTATCAATATGCCGATAACGAAAGTGTAATAAAGGATTGGAGATAATCTCCGACAATTAAAGGGCCTATATTTAAAACACTCAGCCAAAGCTCTGTTACACATTACACGATCTAACCACGAAAACTCGAACCAACAGATTATTGAAGTCCCAAGAATGCTCACAATTTGAGATGTAAGCATTTAAAAGTATCAAAAACTTGTCAACAACAAAAACTGAATAAACCATTATAAAATTACCGTTAACTGACCTTCCCTTCAAGAATCGCTAGTTCATAGGCGAGCTTCTTTTGAACTGCAACACTCTCATTATATAAACGGTCCAGTAGTGTTTTATGTGATATCAATAATGAATAACGGATCAGTTGGCAAAACTCAGTTCTATTCCACAAAGTTACAAAATACAGGTAAATATAAACTAACTACTGATAAGATAGTAAGTAACTAAATAGTGAATTGGTCATTCTCAAAAATACATTGAAGACTAAAGTGGTAACGTAGAGAAATAGGCAATATCTTGATGTAACAATATGATGATTTGTACTAACCGCTTTTCTGTGGTATGATAGACGGAATTACTCATATCTAAGACAGATTGAAAAGGCAAGCCACATAGTTTTAGTGTTATTGTCCATCAAAGTGTTATAGAACAGCATATGAACTGGTTGAGCAAAGAACATTTAATGGTGATTAAAAGTTCTATTCTCACTCATTTGGCTTACACATGACATCAAGTTGACTTTATTAAAGCACTTAATTCTATCAAATTTACCACATAGTTTACGGGCTTGTCTTCTCTACGCCGTTGAAGCTGTCTCAATCCATATCCAGAAAACCAACCCCTGTATCTAAAAGAAGGATGTACAACCCCTCTTTCTGACTTAGCCATTGATATAGGTTATATAAAAAGTGAAGAGAACTACTTTTAATACTTCCGCGATTCTCGTCCAATTGCGGTTTCTTACTTGACTTTAGTAGTTCATGCTTTATACTCAATTAGTTTTATTAACCATCAATTCTTCGACTACATATTTCGACTGTTATTACTAATATTGAACTTCTTGTCAAATACTTTATCAATCCTAATATCCTATTATCGGTCCTACATATTCTTCACTAAGTAACTGTTACTAATATTCAACTTCTTATCAAACACTTCAACCATTCTATTATTACTACTCCTTTATCTGTACATTGTAATTTGTTCGTTTATCAATAAATACCTTGAAACAGTATTCACCTTATGCACTGTTACGTGTTTTATTCATCATTCGCAATTGTTTCTATAAACACTTAAATGTGTAAACACTACTATCTAACCCAAGTCAACTTGGCTAATTTAATTTATTCTTAGTGTATGGTCAAGTGTACAATCATGATGAAAAACTAGTTGAAAGAAAATATCTCTTTGCTTAATTCATCATTTCATTAAATGTCAAGATATGAATTATCACTATATTGATGAAAATGATCGGAAAAAGGTCTGATTCTATAGTATAAATATCAAAGACAGTTTATATATAATTAAAAATTCGATGACATGCTACATTCATAATCTTTAATATCGCTTGTAAAATTACTCATATTTACAAGCAATTTTATTATATTACACGATAATTTGCATTTTTGAATATATTATCACGAAACCAAATTCTGGTAAAAAAAAGCAACGACCTAAATATTCAAAAACAGATATAAATAAGGTATGTTTAATCCGATCAAATTATTGACTTATTATACATTTACATTGCTTATATGTCTAAATTTATTATGATTGAATAATACTTGATAACATTAAAATGCTATTTGTAATAATATGCTACGTTCGAGGAGATTACAATATCACCTAGGACAGGCTAACAGAACAAAAATTAGCAACAAAACAACAGGACAAGTTAAGCTATCCCACTGTGCAACAGCCCAACTAACTAGAAGGAGAAGACCAGATTCAGCCGAGAAAATATATATTCCACAAGCAGTCCGGAAGCACGAACGAACAAGCACACAACTCATGAGTATACATACAGCACAAAATTGTCTTTGGAAAACGTCACAAAATAACGTACTGAAAGAGGGAACGAGTCAATGACATTTAAAGTCCTTCCTGGTGGGAAATACAAATTGAGGGTGGAAATTGATGGTTTGGCGCAAAAATGAGAAATTCAAATTTTCATGATAAAATTTAAAAAATGAGACGTTTACCAAGTGATTTCTGGGGATCTAGCATCCTCAACATAATAAAAAAGGATAGTGTACTAAGAAACCGATTCATTTCAATTCTGAGGAGAACAAGAACAAAGATCTGACTAGAATAACATGGATTCATTTTATTTATTGACTAACCGTGCTTTATTCATTTTATTCTTACTCATATTTATTTATTTGAACACATAAATATTGGTACAAGGGGGCACCAGATATATATGCACCATACACATTCTTACTTATGATCATTACGCAACCACATGTTTGTAGATTCCTGTCCTTTTGTTACTATCAGTGTTGAAATATGTTTCTTTCAAATTAGATACATGTTAACAATATTTTATTCAGTTTACAAGACTCAGTCACACCCTTGCTATACTACACTGATAAGTGAACATTAAAAAAAACTCCGATCAAAATTTATCATATAAGTAATTTGAACCCATTTTGTAATTAGGATTTTTAAATATTACGGGTTGTAAGCCGCTGGTAGGAATCAAACGAAATGAAATAAATGTATGTTATTTCGCTCAAATCTTTATTTTTGCTATCCTCAAAATGATAAAGAGAACTGTGTGTATATGATTTCACTATGATAACTTTTTATGTATAATTACTGTCAAATTTTAGCATTTCGTCCAATTTGCCAATAATAATTAACATATGATGCTAATGTTGTTTACTCTACTGTTTCAACATAAAATGAATTTGTCTGATTATGATTAGCAGTTTATGGGATTATTTCCCACCAGTAAGTCAAATTCCTTAAGATATGTTATCGTGGAAAAATGCCCTGAAACTCCTATTCCTTTCATAATGTTTGTTTAACTAATTAGTCAGTCAGTCATATGTATTATAGAACCTGGAACACATATTCATCGATGCAGGTTGTCATACCACGTAAGCACAGTGAGATAAAATTATCGAAACAACTCTCTGGATAGTAAAAGTAGTAACAGTCCCAGTAGTAGTAGAAAAGTGACAGTGAGACAGATTTAATTCAAAAATGTAAGATTTAATATTGGAAAAAGATTCGTATTATTTTTGTTGCATTTTCGAGTAACAGGATATGAGAAGTGCAGACATTCAGAAATATGTGACTGGACATAATGAAAATAATAAACCTATGAGCATTGTCATTTTAAAACATCTTGAAGGGGATGTTCGTTAAATAGCTTCCATATAGCTCATGGCCAATTTATGATCTTAATTGTGTTTTTACTTAGATTCTATCCGTGAATACTGAATTTTATCAGTTTTTCCGAAATAATTTTCAATATATCGATTCTTCACAATGTCGTGTGACGTAAGATATGTCTCAAAGCCTTCCTATGCCAAGTATTTTACTTGTTATAAACAGGTGATTAATTAAATACAACCAATGTCTATGACAATGATCATCCAATCTCAAGTAAGTACAGTGATTCTTAAAACTGACTGAATTTACGCTAAATTGACCTACTCAATTTCAATGGTAATAACCATGTGTTGATCAGTGACTAACTCTGAGGTAATTCCCGGAGTTTCAGTAATCAGTCGTGACCAGTGGGTCTCAACCATGAAGAGTGTGAGGCAGTTACCCATCAATAAAATTGAAGGATGGCTGTATAATTATGAGAATAGATTCAAGTTAAACATGTAAACCATTAGATACTTGCTCAGTGGTTTAAAGACTAAGTACTTGCCGTGGGACCTGAAGGTCCTAGACTCGATCTCTAATGGAGTTATGAATGATTAATTATCGGGAGCTCCACATTAGAACGAAACATCTGTCCAGTGTTTCCTAACTTTAAATGGTTATTTGATTAAGGCTGGTTCGTGATATTAACCATAAAACCCAACAATCTTTACCAACCCCCTATACAGTATTCCAATTTAAGCTTAAGCTGTAAAAAATTATGGTAAACTCACATTTCAGTAAGTGAACTTCTTCATTGAGACATGAACATGGTAAACCCCACTTCAAACGTGAATCTTTCTTATTAAGATACCGAGTGAAGACTACCATGAACTTTTCAAAGGTACGAACTTACTTTCAAAGGTGAATCAATTCGATACATGGCTTAAATAGTTAGAATTACCATTATTTTCAAAATTCATTAATCACTAGAATAATGATCCACTGACTGCTTTTGATATTTTTGGAGTGCCAGTAAGTTGCCTAATCGTTTTCCTTTCAACTCAGTAGTATCACCAACTAATGCACACAGACATACATAAACTTCAACGTGATTACCGATTCGCATCGTTATCCATTTCATTCAATTATCACCTTATACACAACTTCCATTCGCCAGTTAACAGAACAACAGATAACATATATTATTTCAAACGAACCTGACGATGAGAATAATATAACTAGAAAAATAAGCGATAGTATAAGGACTGTCTATGCGTAAAAAGAACGTGACTTCAAAATATCAATATTACTACCACTGGTTTTATTCATTTTAGAATACGTTTTGGTGAGCCAATTTACAACAGCTTGTTGTCAGGAGGCAGTAAAATTCACACTCAATCATACGATTTCCGTTGACAATCAATCAGTTTATATCAATGCAATTATTTGATGCCGTTGTTGAAGTACCATACTAATAAGCTTTATGAAATATTTAACAAGATTTGCTAGTAAATAAACTCAAAGAAATAAAAGGATTACCTCAATTTACGGATTTGTTTTTTCATTTCATCATCAGATAAATTGTCAGTACTCCTTAATTTCATTAATAGGGTATTTAAATAAAGTTTGCCTAACAGATTATGATTTTCTGGATGCTAAAATACAAAATAAATAAACAAAGATCATCATAAAAATAGAAGTGGGTTTGTATTTGAAGTGAAGATAATAACAAAATAAGTAGTCTTTATGAGTTTCATAGTAAAGAGGAGTACTAAATCATAAAATTACAAATTTTGTGACGTACTCATAGTAGTATGGTATTCGATTAATATATTTGACATGAGAAAATATAAAACTCTGAAAACAACAATGTCTTGATTGTATATTAGCATCAATACGACTGAAATCTTACGTTTCTTATGAGGATATGCAGTAAAAACTATTCTACAGATTGTAATAAGAATAAACGCAATCTTTCTCTTATATATTACCACCTTTGACATAACCACTGCTATGAATCCGGTGTTCATCTTGTTGTGCTGATGCGGTATGGCAACCTGGACCGATGCACATATGTGCCTGGTCCTACGTTGTAGCTGACTGACTGACTGACTGATAAAATCAATGAATCAAAACTCAAAGGTAATGAGCTCACTGAAAGACCTGGAGGTCTCGAATAAGACGCTTGGTAGGGTAGAAGAGACATTCCAAAACTAAATAGAAAAGAAATCCAATGAGCCTCGGATTTCGAAGATTCCGAAACTGAGAAAAAACCACCTTCACACTAAATAAATCTATATAAACCACTCAATGGGACAATATCTTACTTTAATTTAATGCGAACCCTCGACAATTTAAAAACTTCCCTATCGCCCCAGTATCCTATTCTTCTCTTCAAATTCAATTTCACTTTTTTTAAGCTATGCTACTTAGAAGTGTGGTAAGTTAAATCCAAGAATAAATAATATTTTAGCAAGAATGAATATTAAAAAGATTATTTATAGCTAACTAAAACTAGGTTAACAAATAGGTTATATAGGATAAACATTGAGAAATATTCTTTCAATAACATTCAAGTCTCAATTCTAGGTAACTTGTGTTATGAACTCTCTTATTACGACCCAGCTACCCGGGTTGCTTGATCTTGAACACAACTTCAATTGATAAGTCACCAAATCGAAAGACGGTTAAACAGGAATGTAATTGTATTCCAAATAAACAAGGGTGAATAGAAGTAAGAATCACAAAAAGAAAAATGATAGTACATATATAATTTCTGCACAACATTCTACAGTCTTCTCCAAGTATATACTGGCGCTGATTGTTTTTTTCTCAACTAATTAGCATACCACAACACACCCCTGTAAGGAACACGCTTTAATTCAATCTATATTCTACTAACGTGTTCAATAAAGAAAGTAAACAATATTGATGATACTGAACTAATTTGAATAAATCATTTCGTCCCATGGAAAATTCTGTCCCAGAAATTACTACCACGGTTTTAGAAGCACTTGAAATTAGAGTTATTTGCAAACCAGCACAATCCCTGCAGTCTATTTTATACAAAAAAAATGATGCAACAATGAGGGGAAGCAGGCTCGACAAGATAGATTGTATCAAGTACGAAAACTATTAATCGGACACCTATTCATAAAGATTAGCAGATAGACAACAATATGTTGTTACTTAAATCAATGGACATAGAAAACCACAAAAACTTAAAGAATACTGGGAACTTTTTGAAACCTCAAGTCAATCCGTAGTCAATGGAGATATTGACACAAGTTTAATCTGTTAACTGGTAACCATAACGTTAATCAATTACATGGTAAGAGGACAGCCTACCACAACAGTCATCGAGGATCGATCGATTAACAACAGGATTATCAGGAGGAACTAATTGCACGTTTAAAGAATGATTCTATAATTCTTAATTATATAGAAGTTAAGTACTAATCATGCTATCCCATTTGAACCATCCAAACCAAGGATTCAACACTATATACATTTATCTATGCTAAAAACTCTCTCGATTGTTTCCAACACTTTCGCTGTCAACTTCTTGTTTAATATCAGACATTCACACTGCACACAAGCACACACGTAGTTAGACTTTTCATACTACTGTTTCCATTCAAAACATCATCACAATTATCAGTGCAACTTTACAGAAAGTTTTAAACACAAAAAATTACAATCAACATAAGACATGCTAAATGCATTAAATCCTATAAAAATAAAGCGCAGTACACCGATTGTGCATTCTGAGATTTTTCTCAGAAATATTTTCATGACCAGTCATTTACAAGAGACCATAGGACTTACACAATTGGGCAGAGAAGAACACAAATGTTTCAAATAAGTCATTATCATATTTGGATATGAAGAAATAAGACTTTGAATAATATGATTAGGTGATAGAATTTGGGATGGTGCGAGGCTACTTTCCAAGGACGTTTCGGTTGTACTGCCTTCAATAACAGACAATTCACATGATGAATTAACATAACTTGAGGGAATAGGAAAACGTAGCATGAGCTGTTCAGCTATATTCTCATGATTAGTTGTTAAAGCTTGCATAAAATGATTCCAAACTAATTCAGCATAAACAGAGAACTCATAATTTACATCATTTGACGAATGAATAGCCGCTCCCTTATAAAGTGATTGTTTCTGAGTGTCAGTCGAATTATGCGCGGATAGGCTAAAATGTAAAACATGATTAAGTAGGTAAAAGCATCATTATTAACCTTCATTCATATGGAAGTAAACAAAATAGACGGTGTATAAAATATACCATGAATTCTGAATCGTAGTGCTACTATAAAAACCATGAGTTTACAAAGACCTTTGTTAGATTTCAAATATTTTAGTCGATTTAATTTATTTACAACCGGTAAACATCCATTTAATGTTTTATTAAAAACACATTTGATTGATAAGTTTGACTGAATTCATATCAAGAACAAACAACATCTTACATTCGATTAGCTCCTGATATCTCATGTCATTATCCAACATATAATAACATGTTTCAAAGTATGAGTGATTACATTCATTAAAATACGTAAAATACAGTACAATGCAAATAATGAATACAACAAGAAATAGAAACTTTTTAAACTTACTCCAATAGTATAGAAATATAAAATTCTACTCCTGGAAAACTTGAATCATTTAGTTCATTGTAAACTAATCTAAAAATAAATAACATAAATCAAGGAATTTAGCTAACATATTTTTAAATATATTTTACTGTTTCATATTAATGTATGTATTCGAAAAAAAAAGCTATAAAAAATATAGAAATTTCTTTAAATGTACTACGAGTAAATTCATTCCAGTTTTGAGTAGAACTAAAAGACAATCAACACGAATAAGAAGAACAAAATGTTATGATAAACAAAACAGACGAAAATTCAATAGTCGCCACAGTTAAATCAGTTGTCTATTCGGAAACTTTATAAATTTCTTTATTTGTATTTTAGTTGACATATCCGAAGGACTTAAGAAATGGTATCTTCTACGGCTAATTTATGAGCTATTATTATATATAAATATATACTTCTCATATATATAAACGCTGACTGTCTACTGATTAAGTATGATTTAGGTAACCTGTATACCAATTCACAGTATTACGATATTATCTGCAAAGACAGTAAATAAACAAAAAAAGATCTGCGGTAAAACGAAAGCCAATTTTTAATAACACCTAATTTTGTTATGTGGGAAGCTGAAACGCTGTAAATCACAGCATCATATGTATAGAAAGATCTAACTGGTAGACATATACAAGTAAATATACAGGTTAATCAAGAAAATAAATGAGATGTTAAAACTACCCCTACTTACTTTCGCCATATTTCCAATGCACCTGAAAGGTTACCTTGCCAACGATAAATAAGCGCCAAAGCATGGTAAGCATTATTATTTTCTAAGTAGACAGTTAAATCTTCCACGTCAATGTGTATCAAGCTTGAAATCAGATCAACTAACCTTGATTATTATTGTTAGTTGACTTAGTGAGACCACCTTCACCTGACTGAGAATCAATAGAAGACGTATTAATGATTAATTCATAGGGATATGGTTGAATACCAGCCTGTTGTAATCGAACGTACAGTTTGACTAAAGCAGTTTCTACAAACTGAAAGAGCGAAATGAACTTACTGTAAAGTTTAAAATAAGGTAACTCAGAACAAGATAAAGATAACAGTTAAAAACTTTAAACGTTCGGTTTACCGGTAAATATCTTCAATGATCAATAATCGCACACATTTCAAAGTACTACAACATGTTGCACAACTACTCTATAAGAAATATTGGTTACTCCAAGACGAATACTGCAGAGAAAATGTATTTAGTAAACAGAAATCAAAGTTTCACCATTGAATCATCCAGCTCAGAGAACACAACACCTAAATTGGGTAACGGTTTCTGTTAGCGGTTCACACCAATTTATAGATGTCGTATGAATAAAAAAAGTAGACTGATTACCAAGAAGTGTTGATGTAAAGTCTTAGATAAATATTCAGTTTTACGAAGTAAAATGTTTTCTCAATAAACTGTGGATTATAAGTAACGAACAGTAGCAGTAGTTTTTGAAAATTCCCTTGTATAATGTACTTTAAATTTATGCAACTTTTCCAGTAGTTAATTTCTTTAAACTTATGAAAATTACCAATGATTAGAGGTGGAATGACCAATTAGCAACCAACTCCACATTCTCCCACGATTGCACTACGATTTGTAGACTAAACTTACTGGGTGATGACTAAAGCCATCGACTGAAGAAGCCAAACTAATCGGTTTGCAATTCAATACCTATTTGTGAACTTATTGGTTCACAATTCAATAGTATTCATAATTAATTATGTGAAAATGTATTTAACAAGCGAGGAAATGACAGTAATGATATATTCAACCATACTCACATGTAAATGCTTCTCAACAAATTTACTTTTATGATGTTTACGCAAAAAGTTGAAAAGGAATTCTTCATATTTTAATAACCATGATGAACTAATTGTTAGATCATGATCATCATTAGCTGAATCTTCTGCAGCTCTTAAAATGCACAAATCACTAGTCAAATTAATTCCAGACGTTTGAGCATTATCGTCATTATTATGATTAGCTTCGGGATTAGTCTGATGTAGTTTGTAAAACCAATTTGGCATAAAATAACAACCTTTTGGCAAGAGATCAGGATACCGAAACAGAATCTGATTACAGAAAAGAAGGAATAAACAAACGTTTTTTTAAATTTTCACATCCTAAGCAGTAAATAAATTGTAATACATAAATAGAAGCAAGTTGCGTTCATACTTATGTACAACCATTCATAAACCTATGTTTATAAGTCTTGATTGATGTCATAATTCAACAAAATATCGGTAAAACATCGTATGTGATGTGTACTGACAAACTGAAATAATCCACTCAATTTCAAAAAAGTGCAGTAAGATGATATCTGAATTGTAATAATAATACTAAGAATTAGTGGAATTCAACAACCGAATACAAAGGTGGATATGCCGGCTGTGACATTAAACTTACTTACGCCTGTTACTCCTAATAGAGCATAGGCCACCAACCAGAATTCTCCAACCCACTCTATCCTGGGCCTTCTTTTCTAGTTCCATCCAATTCTCGTTCATTCTTCTCATGTCTATCTCCATTTCCCGACGTAATGTGTTCTTTGGTTTTCCTCTTTTCCCTTGGCCTTGAGGATTCCATGTGAGGGCTTGTCTTGTGACGCAGTTGGGTGCTTTCCTCAATGTGTGTCCTACCCACTTCCAGCGCTTCTTCCTGATTTATTCCTTCCCTGGGTTCTGGTTTGTTCTCTCCCACAGTACGTTGTTGCTAATAGTTTCCGGCCAACGGATCCGAAGTATTTTGCGTAGACAACATTTCATAAACACTTGTGTCTTCTGTATGATGGCTTTCGTAGTTCTCCAGGTTTCCGCCCCATATAGTAGAACTGTCTTGACATTTGTATTGAAAATCCTGACCTTGGTGTTGGTTGACAGTTGTTGAGTTCCAGATGTTCTTCAGTTGTAAATATGCTGCTCTTGCTTTGCCGATCCGCGCCTTCACATCTGCATCAGATCCACCGTGTTCATCAGTGATGCTGCCCAAATATGTAAAGGTTTTTACATCTTCCAAATCTCCTCCGTCAACTGTGACTGGATTGTTGCATGCTGTGTTGTATCGGAGAATCTTGCTTTTCTTTGTGTATATTGAGACCTACTGCTGCTGAGGCTGCTGCCACACTGTTCGTCTTATCCTGCATTTGTTGTTGTGTTTGGGATAGAAGGGCCAGATCATCTGCGAAGTCTAGATCGTCCAGCTCCATCCTAGATGTCCATTGTATCCCGTGCTTTCCTTCAGATGTTGACGTCTTCATGATCCAGTCGATCACCAGGAGGAAGAGAAAGGGTGAGAGTAAGCAACCTTGCCTAACACCAGTCTTTACTTCGAACAAGTTTGTCAACTGTTCTCCATGCACGATTTTGCAGTTTAATCCATCATAGGAATTCCGTATGATATTGACTATCTTCCGAGGCTCGCCGTAGTGTCGAAGAAGCTTCCATAGTGTTGTTCTGTCCACGTTATCAAATGCTTTTTCTTAGTCAATGAAGTTGATGTAGAGTGATGAATTCCATTCAATTGATTGTTCTACAATGATCCGTATAGTTGCAATTTGGTCTGTACACGATCTATCCTTACGGAATCCTGCCTGTTGGTCTCGAAGTTGGGAGTCTACGGAGTCCTTCATCCTGTTTAACAATACCCTGTTGAAGACTTTTCCCGGTATTGAGAGAAGAGTGATGCCCCTGTAGTTATCACAGCTGCCGATTGAACTCAAAACAACTTTTTGCTTCTAGTGCTAAATAATATGTTGAAGGTAGGGATTCCACGAGTTTATGTTTGTTTGATGCTGAATTAATAGATAAACTCTCTAATCAAATAATAAACAATGTAATGATATTTACCGTCTAACCAATAATAAGTTAATTCACTCACCTTTGAGCTATACTGTATTTGGGGGTGCTAGTGATACTACTCGTTTGTTTAAATCGAGGTAGATTGAAAAGGCTTTCATAATTCCATTTGTTAGTTAAAACTCAAGTGCCTTCACCACTGACCCACCGCTCAAAAAAGAATATATCCCATTACAGTTTACTGTAATAGACTAAATATTAAATTTTTAATAAAACGTAGTAAGTTTCATTCTAAATAACTGCATCATTTATTTGAAGAGTTTTTAACACGGACTGGTTTTAGCTTAAAAAGCATTAAGAAACCAACAGAAATGAAAGAGCTGATTCACTTGAGTTTGCGACATTTATACCACTGAGTTGCAATCTAGTGGTAGTATATAGTTAGTCACAGCTTCAGTCTATCTAATTATGGAGTGACAATAACTGTCTTATTCCTGACATGATTAATTTCACAGACCACAGCTTAATAGGCTAATTATCAATATACCAAAGTAAGAACCACTTCAAATTTAATAATAACAATAAAGGGATTATATAAAGGGAAGTAACTCACTTCACGTATGTCTATAGTGCTCTGTTCAAAGTAGGAAGCTGCTTTATCTAGTTCACCCTTTTCAAAATGATAAAATCCTAAAAGTCCAAGTACCTGTTGACGTCTCTGGAAAAGCAAAATATAGGAAATTGTATTGTTATTAATTATCACAACACTAAAAGATATGAAAGTGACAAGGAAAGTAATCAGCCCAAAAAACATAAATATTTCAATAACCTTAGTTAACTTTAGAATATTAGATAAAAGTTCCACGACTTACTGAAACTACAGCCCTGTAGTGATTGATGAATTATAAGTTAATCTGCGAATATATTTTTACGACTTAACACGTAAATTCAACAGTACACCAAAATTCAAAACACAAGATGTCAGTTGGAATCATTTGTTTGACAGACACTATGCTGGAGAAAAACTATGAGTGTAAACTGATTGGATAAAACATTGGGGTTAGTAACAAGTCAACTCAATTTTGTGACTCACCTTATATAGTTTAAACAGACAAAGAGTAATGTAAGCTAGTAGATGAACAACAAACGAAGTGTACATAATAGCATACGTGAATATAATTAACACGAATACAGATGACAGCGGTACATGCATAGAGAGCGGCAATTACCTATGAGAAATATAGATTTATAAGGTGTAAAAGTGACTTAATAGTTGCATACTGTCTAATCAACTAATATTTGTCTGACAACTAGAATAAATCTACTCAAGTGTTACGGAAAGTCACACAGAAACTATCGAATCCATACAGAGAAAAAAGGAAGAACAGCAAAGACAGTTGTAGTAATAAGCACCACATCAAAGAGTGATATAACAATGATTGTTTGAAATTTGTACGCATTACAGTGACTACTTGAAACAAAAGGCAATAACAAAATATTTTCAGAAATAAAACAGCACATAATGATTAATATATCCAAGCAGCTTTGAAAATTGATGTGTCAATATGTTTCACTGGAACTAAACACTTTACTATGTGAAGTAAAATAGCTAAATTACTATATTTTAAGCAAGTGGGTTGTAGGTTTGAATTCCACTTCACCAATTTCGGTTTGTCTAGGTGATTAGTATTACAAACCATCACACAGTGTAGATTAAAGCCAAGTAAACGAACCTGTACTTGGTCAGTCAGCAACATAATGGTTTAAACCATGAATAAAAACAAAAAAAGTCGGTTGGATACACACTTTCCTAAATCTTTGTTAAACCCGACGTTTAAATAATTCCTAATTTAGTTAAATGCACGCATAATTGTATAGTTTGATGATTCACTTTGTTTATGTGACGTAACAATTTATCTGATAATCATGAACAATCATTAGAAAAAGGAATAAACAGGTGTATAAACTATCACAATAAAATAAAACAGGAAATAAGCATGATGAGAGATTGACAAAAATCACTACAATTAGTGAATAGTTGAGAAAATGAATGTTATTAATAAAAGCCAAGTAGGAATAAATAGAGAAAATAAGTAGTAGAAAGAACACAGTATAAAAACAAATTATCCAGCTACTTATGAAATGATATCAGCTGCAAAACTATTGGAAACCATAATGAAGCCATATCACAGTTGTGAGCGTATTATAATACAAATGTCCTTGCATAATATTTCCCGGATATTTTTCTAAGATTTATGTTAGTTTCGACATTCTCATTAATCCTCTAAAGGATTGGGAAAGTAACCTTTAAGTTAAGACTAAAGCGGGATTATAATCTGACTACTACTTAACAGATGTGTGGTGGAAAATAAGTCAATTCACTTATGAGATATTTGGGTTTTGTCCCCAGTTGTAATCAATCAATGTTTATTATCGTGGTTTATGCATCGTGACATGGGATACACGCATATCTACGCTATTTGAGTTTATATTAGTGGCTACACGGTGACTTACATGTATCATTGAAAGTTCTTCCCTTAACGTTACCACTAATCACTTACCATTATTTTATCCACGAATAACAGTTTCAAGACACCAATGATCTGATATCAGTAGTCATCTATCTAAAACGTAATATTTCGCATAGAAATTTGTTGAGATATTTAATCAATCACATTGTTTACAGATTGACGATCAAATTTTCTGAATAGCAGACAAAAGTTCAACAGGTGTCATGCAAACGTCGACCGAAGATGTGGTCTAACACCACTTTCAACCATATGGTTAAAATAGGCATCGATGAAAACCGGTCCGATAGCATAACCATGAACTGAATAAATTTATATATTGTGAAGGACAGTTGCTTTAGTTACCACGTTAATAATAAGCATAGTTTAAGAGATTTAAAATTCAGAAACCATAATAAAACTGTATCAAAAAGAAACATTGTGAATTATCTAACATATTGATAAATGACAGCCTACAACAAAACTGAGTCTAATTGTAAATTTACCTTATCGAATAACTGTTGTTCATGTTTGAATTTCTCAACTTGCAACTGCATGGCTTGAGTAAGACGATTTCGTTCTTGTTGTTGTACAAGGAAAGCTTGTTTAAGACAACCAGTTAAGATGAACCTCCGTGCAATCAAATCCCAACGTTCTGGTCCTAAGACTTGAATATTTCTGATGGATGTAGTGTCAGTATTACAGTCAGATGTTCCAGTAAAGTATAACAAATGAGCATCAGCAGAAAAACAAGCTACAGATGGCTTTTGAAGATTTATTGTTTGTATCTGGGATTGTGTCAAGATGCTAGAATAAAAGGAGAGTAGTAGGTATGTTAGTTTTAGAAGTGTGAGATTAGGATGAGGAGGTTGTTAATACTATGATAATTGATAGTATAGTCTCATTTATATCTTCATCACCAATTCCTGGAGTAAGATGGACAGAACTACAGTCTGATATCATTTTAATGAAATTAATTAAAATTCTAAACATTCTTCAGTCAAATCTTAAATAATTCTATTTTCTATCGACGATATTCTTAATTGTGGTGACATTTCGTAGATAGTCACTGGAAGACTGGAAAGATGTATAGAAAGAATCCATAACATTTAATAGAAATACCAGTAGTTCATTGTACATCAGCAGACGACCACCCATAAAGTTAATTTATCAGTAAATACTACCTGTCAGAATGATATAGCATCTCTAACTTTAGTGTAATTTTATTTCGAAAATTGGAATCCCCTTGTTTTCGCGCCAGAAGCGCTCTTTTCACCTTCATGTCGTATTTTCCATTTGGGAGGATCTTAAACGCTATTGGTTCGTTGTATCATTTAGTATGTTATTTTGTAACGCTTCCCAATGACAGTTTTATGCCGTATATATACGTTTGGTTTGTGCCCGTTTGTTATCGCTCGTGCTTCTGGCTGCTTGCGGAATATATTTCCCCGTTTTGAACTTGAACTTCTATCTCTAGTTAGCGGGGCTGGGACTCATCAGAACAGCTAGCTTATTGGTCTTTGGTCACATAGTCTTTGTTCCGTTCGCATACTAGGCGAACTCGTAATCGCTTCAAACATAGAAGGCATTCAGACAATGAACTGATTTTACAGTTATACAAACACACGATATTTTTAGTTCACTGAAGATTTCTTAGAAAGAAGATAATCAATAATAATTTAACTCGTTCACAAGGTACTTGGATATGATCCACAAAAAAAGTGAGGGTTACGGATAATACATAGTTCCCAAAACTGAAGTAGATGAAGCGATGTACAAAATTGTGAATTGATGGCTGTAAATTGAATATCTTAACCACTAACAGTCACTACTGCAAATTATTTTTCGTCAGATATTTAACAAAATAGTTTTGGGTGTACGGTCCTTATCTGCATAAAAACAATAGAAAAATGTCTTTTTTTACAGCAAACTTGTCGGGTTATATTTCACCCAACTACAAATGGAATCTGATACTGTTTCTCCCATATGAGTTTATATATTGTTCTAATCCTGTAAGATCAAGCAAGCAATCATGAATGAGTTCCTCTAGTGTCTGTATAGCAGATTTATGGGATATAATTATTGTATCATCGGACAAATCTCTTCGCAACGGTATGTTTTTAAGACATAGTAAGTCCCTACCTCGATAGGAAAAGAGCTAAAATGTATGTTCCTCGTTTTAGAACGAATGATATTTCTTTGTTTAACAAACAGGATTAGACGGAGATTTAGGTTTGAAACTTGATTGTCAACCACCATCCTATCGTTCTATTAAACATTGAAAAGTGATACATTCAAGCTACTTTTACATAATTTTTTACACCAGCAGTTTATAATTTCACTAAAACACCAAAGCATACCAGCTGATTTTTATTATTCTTATGTTCAAAAACTAAATTTTATGAGCGCAAAAGTGTTAATCTTATAATGCTATTTATTCTGTATGATTTATATGGCCTTTTCCTTAATTGCATGGGACTTCAAATTTCAAACAACGCTTCTGAGAGCATAAGTGATTTATTTCAAAGAGATTTTCTAAAGTTACTGATTATAACTATATAATAAAAAAACAAAGTTATTCAATATGTTCAACTATCTCAATGGTATGTACGATGATTTTTCGAACTAGCATCCACTATTCAGCTTTTCTTATTTTACCGCTGGAATCTGATATGACTCAGAAAACTGAGATGCTAATAAAGAATGTATTATACTGGACAACTGAAATCGATAAGAAATAGGATTGCTCCCAAGTAGTAAAATAATGTCTCGCTTGGTTGCAATTATATCATAGGACCAAAACTAAACTGACTTTAAAGGATTATTAATTAATATAATTACAACTCTTAGCATACATTTTTAACCAACATAGAAGTAAAATGAAAAATGGTTTGACGGTTTATGCAGATTGGTGAAACAACGGAATGACTTGTACAGTAGGCTTATTCAGAACATGTAATAACAGGAATATGGAATATATAAACTTTTACATCATCGATTAGCAGTCTAATATGTTGATACAATTTTGTCACCTACAGAAATCCCGGCGGTTCTCCTTAACAAGATGAACGGAATGGCAAGTCTAGCACACGAGTACACTTAAGTTACAAAAATTAAGCCAACAATTTTGCTTATACATATAGCTGTTCCTTGCCCTTACAGTTATTCCGCTCATTTTTCCTGGTTCCGATAATTGAATATTTTGCTATTTACACGTATTTATTTTAAGATCACCGAATTGACTCCGCATGAATACACTCATACGAAACGTAAAACTTGATTTAAAACATTGTAGTAGGTCATAGTCAGAAACATGATTTAGACCTATAAATAAATTACATGGATACACGATAAAGAGTTACAAAAACTTTTAAAAGTTACACATACTTGTGAATGGTAAAAAATTCGTCAGTGATAGTGAAGAAATAATTTCTCCACACAAAAACTTCTACTATATTTGGTGATAACTGAAGTGGTGCACGATGAGACACACCATTAGCATCGACAATAATACCCAATGATCCTGGACCAGAAACAATAAATTCATTCTGCAAGTATTGAATTTTTATAAGAATATATTAGTGTTCTAACAAACCTGAGTAAAATAGACTATGTAATTCCGTACTGGTTCTTTTACTGAACGCAATAACTCTGTAGTACTGTTTGTACGTAAATTTATTGATATGTAACTACTGTCCGATGCAACACATAAAAAGTGTGGTGAGATGCACTAAAACAAAAGTCACTAAATCAAGCAAAAATAGTATGAATTTACAAGAGACTGTGGAACTTCTGTTAACCTGGTCTCAAAAACAAGCATACATGTCGATACAAAAATATGATGTAGTTGGATTAAACCCGATTTAAATCCTATGCACAGCTAAATTAGCGTAATAATTATACGCATCATTAATTCGAATTTGAAAATGATTAAAATACCTTCTCTTTTTCATCATCGAAAGAGCACAAATGAAATGATGAAACGCCTTTGAAAGATGGAATAAAATTCATGATCTAGAAACAATAAAACAGGTTTTACAAAATCTATTTCTATACCTCAAGTTTTCAGCGTTACATAAGGTAAGATTTTCATCGCTGAAAATAGAAAGTGTAGTTTTTTTGGAAGAAGTTTCAAGCCTTGAAATAGACTTAGTCTGATTAGGTTAACATATAGAATATTAAAAAGATTTACAAATATTCTCCTTGATAGAACATTACTGAAACAAAATGATGTTTTATTGTCATACAACTCTTGAATAATCAATTGAGATACTAAACTTTAGTCATGATAGAAAACAGCCATACTGAACAACATACCCCTTGCTTGTTCCAATAAATAGTAAGTCTGAAAATGAACACATGGCTGTTATCTATGAAAGGATACAAGGTAACATAGTTGTCACGAAAATACCTCCACCTCAGTTTCCATAGCAGTACATGAACTTGGATGTAACTGAAATAACGAATACTTTGTGTTCTCCGGTTCAATTTTATTGACGTAGTCATTCATTATCAGGCAGGATAATTGTTGAACGCAAAATTGTCAGTGTCTGGAAATGACAGAAAATAAACGTATTTGAAGCAACTACATAAACACATTCATACAGTGACAACATTCATATAAAAACACCTCACAATCAGACAAAAGGACATTGTGAAACCCCATACTACCTGCCATACTGCCAATTTTAAAAAAAATATGATAGAAAATAGATAAAAATGAAAACGAAATTGGAGGAAGCTAATATCTAAAATATCACGAATTTCAACACTCGAAGTTCACACTTACAATAGGTTCATATGAACCTCTCGAAATTCTATGCCCAATTACAGAACTTATCCAGCGGTATTTCATGCTCAGGAACAACGGCAAAACCTAGATAACACACGGAAAGCACTGCACATTTATTTTACAGCAAACAGCACTTGAATATCACCTACAAGAGTTTATCTTCACACAACTTCACAGAAGTATAGCTGAATGATTTATCATGGTGGTTCCGTTTATACATACTTGCAAGCAGACCACCATAATAGATATACAGAGCATTTCAAGAAATGTCAGTCAGTCAGCTACAGCATAGGACCAGGCACATATATGCTTCAGTCCAAGTTGCCATACACAAGATGGACACCGGATTCATAAAAGTAGTTAATTCAGAGGTGGTAATATATAAAAGAAAGATTACAATAAGGATATAGTACAGGAAGAAAGAATTAGTTCGTAGAAAGACATGAAGCGATTTTAATCTCTTAGTTTAAGAGAAGACAGAGAGTGTATACACCGACGCCATTGTGATCGATTCTGAGCCATGTCACCAAGTCTCCAACCATTGGTTACGATAGTCACGCGGACCCCAACCAAGTAGTCTGCATCTACCAATATGGCTCAGACTAGAAGTTAGTGACTTCAAGCACTGATGCCACGTTTTGGTTTGGCCGCCCCTACATTTCTTCCAACCATCTCCAACACCTGTTAGTATTGCACGTTGTTGTAATCGGTGTTCGGGCATACGTAACACGTGGCCCAACCACCTCAGTCGATGAAGATTCACAACCTTATCAACTGATTTACCATCATCTCCTAATACCCTGTGTCTAACCTCACTATTACTTACCTGGTGATCCCAGCGGATGCCAGCAATATTTCTGAGGCATCTGTGGTCAAATACTAGTAGCTTACGAGTGTCTTCTACTCTTAGTGGCCATGTTTCGCTGCCGTAAATTAAAACAGAACGGACTGCCGCGCAGTATACTCATCCTTTTATTGATAGACGGATATCTCGCCTTCTCCATAGGTGACGTTGTTGCTACCTTGACGTGATGGTCGAGCTTGCCTATCGTGATGAAGCAACCGAGCTATACTGGCTGGAACAACTGTTCCTCAAGGTCCTACCATGTCAGAAAGGTCGGTTGAAGAGCGGTAAGACTAAAAGCAACAAACCCAAGGTCCGAAGGCGAAGTCGTACTGCTTACTGTACAGAGGTGTGACAGCAGTAAGGTGTTTCCTTCAGACAACCAGCATGACAGCGATGCTGCCTTCCCACAAGGAGGGGTGGGGTTAGAAAAGGTCGACCCTAAAAATGCACACCTCGCCTTATCTCACGGATATCCGTCTCCGGCGGTAAGGTCTCAACAAGTACGGAGCTAACACAAAAATTACCCATGAAAAGGTCGTGTGTGACCGACCTCAAGCAGTTGTCCCTTGGGCACTGCGGTCACGCTCCCAGGTCACTAAGACCATCTCTAATCCGATTTCCTTTTCAGGTACCTCCAGAACAACCCTTCCACGGTGTGGGCGACCGGGAAGTGACAGTCTAAAAACAACATAGTTTCTTCGTAATCTTAGAAAAAAAACAGGAAACGTTTAGACAGATATGAGCCTCTCCCAGCACTACAAGTAAGGATCGACCAGTAGGATATAAAATGTTTAAACCAATGAAAAGTTAATAACGACGTGTTTTTAAAAGGCATAGCATTCACGCATGTACACATCTATACCAAAATAATAGTTCACTAATCATGAAACAAAACATTTTGGGCAATATCTCCAAAGTTTTAGGTTTTCTCTAATATGTCTCCAGAAGTTTCGGTAACTTGGGGGAAATCCATCTACGTTTAGTGATCAAACCCCAGTATTTTCTTCGCATTTAGGGGATATTCTGCACGATTTTCGGTTCTCCCCAATACCGTCGAAGTAGATGGAAGTGGTGGTTAGAACACCTATTTTTGAGGAACTACTTTATGAGCATGTACTCAGTAGGTACTTAGCTATTGGGGAAAAGTTCCCAGTCAGAATATTGGCAACTGGAAACTCAACCGTGACACATGCAGCTTTGAGAAAATGCACAGTATTGCATCAATGTAATAAGTTGTCATCACTTTGAAATCATTGTTTTCAGATGATTACCTGATAACTGAGGGATTGAAAGTATCATTCACTGAAGTACTCCGTTACAAAAGCACAATTGCACCTGAGGATGACACGCTGACATGTAGAACAGAGAAGTCAAAGAGGTGAATTGATGAGCTTACACAATCCATTCATTGTCGGAGTTGTCAAACGCAAAATGAAAAACTACTTGTGCACCTCTGAAGAACTAGAGGTTACTGAAATGGAAGCTGAGTGTGTCGCAGTTGAGTTTCCAGTCGCCAACATTTTGACTGGGAACTTTTCCCCAATAGTTAAGTACGTATCTATTGAGTACATGCTTATAAAGTAGTTCCTCGAAAACAGAAGTGTTCTCACCACCGCCTCCATCTACTTTAACGGCAGTTAGTAACACGTAAGTTGGGGTAATTGCAAACATAATGAGAGTAAAATGTTGAAAGTGATTCTGAAAGAAGTCAATGAACTATCTAGCAAGATGGACAAACTGACTGCTTACATCAAAAGCTCATACATGGATGTGAAGGACAGTTACAGCAACAGCCTAGACACTTCGAGTTGCGCATTTCCATTGAAACCATCTGAGGAAATGCGTACTGTTAAAGCTGCTTTGGAGGAACAAAAGTTTCGTGACCCGTTCGTAAGTTGTGACAGCTGTTTATGAAATTTCAAGTGACCAGATTGCCCGCGATCGTGTGTGATCTTCGGAAGTCAATCAAAGCGTGTCTGTATTACGTGCTGACACCGGAACTGGTAATTACTTATACCTTACGTGGGACTAAGAATAAAATAAATATAAATAACTACATATTCTACAGAACGATTTAAAGTACGTCCACACCACAGTCTTAATATATTTATAGATGTTCACGGTTTTGAAGTGCAACCTGTCCAGAGAAAGAAATAACACAAGTTAGGCTTTCTTGGACGACGCGAGAGATAAATTCAATAAGCGTGGATGGCGATCCAAAGAAAGGATGAGCCAAATGTTCTTTTGATCTGTAATTGAATATCTGTTTCTGATTGTATATTAGTTTCTAACACATGTCTATACTGAAGTAACTATATGCTGTATATTTTATTTTCAGCTGGCTTTCCAAGTGCTCACAAACCTAGCTGTAAACTTTTAGTTCAGCAAACATTATTATTACCACTAGTACGTAATCAACCTTTCACATGGTATTATGGATTCATATTTTGGATGTTTGCTATAACATAGAGCAATCGTTTGTCTACTATTGGCAATTTGGCTGTTTTGATACTGCGTTTGTAATGCAAAAGGGTAACGTTCCTTTTATTTTTGTAGAGCACTGTGGACGACAGTTTAACATCAATCCGATGTACCAAACCGAGGCGCAATTGCAATTGTGTCAGGATTCGAAGACATTAGTTATGGACGTACAATCTATTTGTACATTTTTAAAACCTCAATAAACAATTTTATTTATAACGCATAAGTCCTTTAACTACGGAAATGCTTATTTGCCGCGACAGACCAGTTCTTGTTGTCGTGGTTTAATTGCTTTGAAACTGCGTTTAATTTGCGAAGTTAACTGAAGAAAAGAATTGAGTAGGTGCGTATCAACTTGTGGGTAATTGTTGTTAAGTTGGTAGACTTTCCCGAACAGAAGGTAATCTGGGGTTTTTTCTAATAAGGTATTGGGAAGAACCGAAAATCGTGCAAAATATCCCCTAAATGCGGAAAACTATTGGGGTGTGATAACTAAACGTAGATGGATTTTCACAAAGTTGCCGAAACTTCCGGAGATATACTGGCGAAAATCCGAAATTGTGGAAATTCCCCAAAATGTAAAAATAAAATATGGGGTTTTAACGACGAATATGGATGCATTACTGCACGGTAATGGGTCTTCCCCAGACCTGGGGAAATTTTGGGTTTTGTGCCATCGTCTCAAACCATTTCTATTAAGGCTTACCAAGTATTTTCCCAAAAGGCACATGTTTTTCTCACAATATGGACATTATGTTGACATTGGGCCAATAGTCACAGTTCCCTCGAAATTTCCACAAATTAATTTGGAGGCCAAAATGTACAGGGACAGACTATTTTCGACCTGAATCAGACGAGCGAACTTAAATGACAAGAAACTATGTAGCAGGTCTATTTACTAACTTATCAGAGTTACCAAGTATATGAGTGTTTCCCTATGACACTGAAATTCTCTCTGACATCCTGAAAATCGAAATTCGCAATAGATATACATTCTTTTTACCAGACCTGCAGCCTGTGAGGCAAGTATAGCATGATCAAAGTCCACAAACAAGATTAAAAACTGACAACGATTACAATGTACTTTGTACCGCAGTAGTAGGGCAAGCCATAACGTAACGCTACATTCAAAAAATTGTTTCACTTTGAAAATAAGTCAAATGGGTCTGGATGGAATAAAAGAAGCTTTAGCCTAACGGGCTTTCTTATCTTGTAGCAGTGGATCAACGATTCCTTCAGTCAGGAACCTATGTATATTCAAAGATAGAAAGCAAAATAAAAGTAAGTTATAGTTCAAATGGTTCAAATGGTTGTGGACGGAATAGAAGAAGCTTTCGCTTAACAGGCTTCCGTGTCTAGTAGCAGGGGATCACCAAATCCTCCAGGCAGG